GGTGAACAGGCAGACATGTCTTCACAATCCTTGTTCCATATAAGGCATTGCTTGGTCAATGATGTGCTGCATGGCTTGATGTCGCTACACATGGAGTGTCGGGAATGTCAATTCAGTGCCACACTTACATCCACCATAGAATGTTAATTGCTGTCAGCCTGCAAGAGTGTTGGGAGAGTTCCTCTGCCATCACACTGGATCTCTCTGTGTGTCACACTGTCGACAAGTTCCAGAGGAAGGGATCAAAAGGTAATGTTCGATGTTGCTCGATGTTCATGTCCACCCAAAGAATGCGCAGCGGAGGCCCGCACTTTAGGTTCCATGATTAGTTGTGCAGGCTCCCCTTGCGTGGCCTTCAAAGTCAGAAACATGTCACCAGAATTAGCAGTAGTGCTTAGAACTTAGCAGGTGCATTAGTGTGCAAAATTGGCAAGTGTATTTGCTAATGCACTTGCACTGGCCCAGGCTGGGGCTGCACATACACAGTCTAGCAACTAAACAAACCATGCCAAACACTATCGCCACGGTTTATTACGTGTGATGCGGGTGTCGAAGGGGACTGGAAATCGGCAGTGTATGCAAGCATTGCAATCAATTGCATCGATTAGATGGTCAACGTGAAATTGAAAGAAAACTAAGAATTCTAATTTGAATACACAAAAGATGAAAATCACTCACTGGCAGCCAAATGCAACTGCGGCAACTATCTGTCCAAGGTGCAAGCGCTTCAGCAAGACAGTTGGCTGCAAACTTGTATTTGGGACTTCATCTAGCACTTGGCTATGGTAATTTGGGGTGTGTCCATTACTCTGTGATGCTACTTTGGGATGTTTTGACCACAACGGGCAGCAGAAGGATTGCTGCATTTGCCCAGTAATGTGCTGCTCATGGATAGCATCCATTTCTGGCATCTAATGAGACACAGCATGCAGTTCGACTCTGAGTGAATAGTGAAGCCGAAATAACATGAGTAGAAATGTCTACATTAGCACAAGTGTGTGAACGGGTGAACAGGTTCACATTTGTTTGTTTGCTCGTCTTGGTGCGTACAGGATGGGGCGCATATTTTGCCGCTGAGGCATTCAGCCAAAAACGCCACTGGAGCTGTAGTTCAACGCAAAATTGCCTGTCGTTGCTTGTATGGCAAAGTATTGGATGGGCAGCTCACCTCCCCTGAAGGCTGTTTACCAAAGTGTGCATTACCAATCTGCTGCTGGCGCATGCTGTGCCACACAGCGCATATGTAAATGAAGGACAGTGTTGCCAAGGACTGCATTGTCTCCAGCGCCAGGCTCAATAGGTGCTAAATTCAGAGCAATGTTGCTGAGGGCGAAGGTAATCTAAGGAGCGAGGGCCTGAGGACTTCTGTAGAAACGTGGCAAACTGGTTGTGTAGGAAAGACAATATGGGTGCGTTAAGAGCCTGTAAGCTTTAAAGATGACTAGACAGTAACATTTGGTCGTTTTGCTGCTGGTGGGCAGAAACGAGGAGACTTCGATAGCAAGAGACAAATGAAACTGGCGCTGCGGCAGCTGAAGCACTACAACTACATTAAGTCCTGCCCCAACAACGGTGGGTTTTGCACCACTGAATAGAACACTGAGCACATGTGGTGCTGCAGGTATTTCTTTGGTACTGGAGTAACAACGCATTGCCAACGGGCATTTTTGGCGTATGCAACATGAAGTTATACCTGTGTTTAGAATCTGTGGCAGTCTGTTCTGCCACTCTGCAGCGCACTGCGCCGAACGCTTGCCACGCATTTTGTTTTGTTTGGGAGGACTCTATCAGATTACTGTATCACTGGCTGAGCATTTTTTCCAACAGATACGTTCTGTTGATATATGCAATATTCTTGTATTCTACACTAGTTGTGTATCCCAATCTGTTGCATACATTTCTAAAATTTACTGTGCAATTTATTTTCTTCTGCATTTGATTTCTTTGGCAACTTATCCGCATAAGCAGCTGCCATGGTCTGGGTTTTGAGCATTGGACCTGGCCTCCACTGCGCTGTTTACGGTGAAACCTGCAATGATTAAACAGACGCAAATTGGCGACGTGCAAAATGTCAATAATCCGCAGTAGTAACGGAACAACATGCGAAGTGTCGTAGAGCAACGTCTCCCTGTGGATTTCGAAAATCCTTGGCCTTGGAGCTGCGAATGTGAACAGCCGAGTTTTAATGCAGTCGAACTTTGGAATGCTGAAACGTTGTGTCGCCCCTCCAGTGCAGCACGAGTGCCAAGTATTTGATTCTTCAGATGTGACGCTCCTCTCATCGGCAAACCGAATTCAACTTCTCTGAATTTGTCAATTTTGCATATGGAATTTTCCCAATGGGCATGTATACACGGTCGCCTGACATGGTCAGATTTGAATCTGACCGCTGCTGTGCGACCGCATGCAAAGGCACAAAAACCGGCGACCTGTCTCAGAACTACGTCTTCGAGCTGACCCCTCGCGGGAAGAAATCTATTGCAAGGAGAGAACAGAGGCAGCCACCTGGCGCAGAAGTAGAGCCGTGAGTAGGTACTCATGAATGCAGCCTCGATTGGGAGCTCGGAGGGGGGGGGGGGGGCCTCGAAGCTTGGATTCGAACACTTCCCTGACGAGAAGCGGGTCAGTGCAGTGCCCAAGTACTGGACTGGAATCCTGACCGAGTGCGGCCTTGCATGGAATCTTGAATGGGTAGTGGGCTGGAGGTGTCCTTGCCATGTGCAGAGTGTGCACCTTTTGGTGCCGAGCCCCAGACCCATGGGTCAGGAGGTCTGGAACGCAATCCCCCATAAAATATGTGATCGAGTCTTGCATGGCATTGCAATGGAATGTTGCATGGAATGTGCATGAATCCTTGACGAGGTTTGGAATTTCCGAACGCTGGGATGGGCGCCAGGTGCCTCGGAGGCCTGTCCTGCCTGTGGAAAGACTGCGCTCCTTGGACGCCATTGCCACGTCCTGGCCAGGCAGTGCGAGTGCCGCTAGTACGTACTAGTAGTGCTTGCTGTGTTTCCATGGAAACGCATGTGCAGGATGTGGACAGGCGCACGTGGGGAGGGCGTGGCAGTTGTTGGGCACGTGGCCTGTGGGTCTTGGCTTTCCACGCATTGATCCCCGTTGCCAATGTCGTGCTATTTTGTTGGCCCCAAATGGAAGCCTGTCACCAAAAAGCACAACAGCGAAGTTCTGGGATTAAGGGACGGCGCGAACTGCGCCGAACATCAGCGGCCTGCCACAGCATTATTGCCTAGATTGTGCACATCAGATTTTCTGCCCCCTGCTAGGATGTCCGATATCGCCTTTCTTTTATTGTTGCGACGCCGTTGGCGGACTAGGATCATCCCCGCGACCAGGCGTTGGCGGGCATGTGAATACCATGAAACATTCAACCCTTCTGTGTAGCAATGTGACGCATGGCCTTTTCTTGCGGAGAAAATTAACAAAACTACTGCGGACAAACATAAAAATGTAGATAATACTGTGAAAAGCAAAATGCGAAGGAAAATGCGTGACAGCAGAACGTTTTGATGCGGAAGGGTTGAATACGTAAAAATCAAGCTCAAGCCATTGAAGGTTTGAACGTACTAGGGTACAAGACTTAGCACGCCTCATTTTGTCCTGGTACTCCTTGGTCTGATGTGCTGTGCCGCGCTTCCTTACAGCGGCATGCAAACAAGGAACGCGCCATCGGGTAAAGTGTGCCCTGGCCTCATGCACCTCGTGACGCGAATGTGGGAGCTGTCGTGGCGGATAGCTGGCTGGCTGTCGAGGGCTCTTTCGTACGATTTGTGTGAGAAATGAAGGAAAAGCGGTGTGACCCGATTTTGTCACAGCGCTGGTTTTGCCGCACCTCTCCATGGTTAAATGGGTCAACGCGAGGGTTGGAGGCGGAAGTGAGCTGCACAGCAATTGGGCTCGCTCCAGGTCTGGTTTCGAGAAGGGGCGCCATGGCGACATCCTTCTGTGTGTGCTCCTCAGGCTGGAATGTGAACGCTTTCCGACCGGAATTAAAAACTTTTCAGCGGTACTGATAACTGCTTGTCGTAATTAATAATTACTTGCCGTCGTTAATAATTACTTCCAGCTGTATTTACTTTCGAAAGTGTAAACGTTTGTAAACCCCCGATCCTCGCCTCAGATGGGCGGGGGCACAGCTCATTTGAACGTTCACATTTTCAAGGTTCGATAATCGCAAAGCCTTTGTGAAGTTTTCGCACGCGCAGGCATTCAGACCCACAGATTCCAACAGCATTTCCACACGGAGATCGGCCTGGCGGCGTGGGTCGCCGAACTGAATTCAAACTGAATTCAAGGCATAAATTGACGAACGGGGTGGAACCGTCCAATCCAGGGCTTCGACAGATGCTTTCTGTCAACCCAACGCCCTCGCCGTAGACTCTCAAGTCGCAGACTCCGCCAAGCAAGTTCATCGGGTGAGCGTTGGCCCCCGCACCTCCCGAAGGTGCATCATCGTTGAGCTAAAAACTCCAAAATCGCTTCGGACGGCGGCTGTGCTGCGTGCCCAAGCCCTTCGAACCAGGACGGGCCTGTCGTCTCTGAGACCCTCCCAGCAACCGCTGCAGAGAAACGCACCCCCTGAACGCTTTCGCGTCAAGCAGTCCGAAAATCCATGGAACAGCAGATCCCAAAAGCCCGAATCAACGGATTCCCCAACCGCCAACTTCATCCACCCGAACAGCGCCCAGAGAAGGCCAACCCCAACTGGAAGGACACCCTCCGCCCCTCTTCCCCATCTTCCCTTGTTCGCGCAGTGAAGGCCATGCGCAATCGACTCCGATCAAACAATCTGGTTGGATTTCACGCCCATCACCGCCTGTCAGGAGGGCCGCGTTTCACCATTGCGTGACAAATGCAATCGGTTGATTTGCATGCGCTGAGGACCGCGCACCCCTCCAACTCCAACGCCATTTCGGGAAATGCATCACCATGTACCACTAACATTAGGCCTTGCACCAAAATGCACTGAAAGAGTTTTCTTCTCACGCCTCCGCCAGCATGCTGCAGTCCTCGCCAACAAACCCGTCGAAGCACAGGCACGTCCCCTCATCCAAATCGCACAGCCCGCTGCCGCTGCAGTCCTGCGGGCACTCCTTGGGCCCGCCTGCCGGCCCCCTGGCCACAGCTTCGCAGTTGCTGCACACCTCGAAGCTTCCCGCCGCGCTGAGGCCCATGACCTCGGGCTGGGAGTTGAGAAAGGCGGCCGTGGGCGGCAGACCGAACGTCCCGGGCGTGGCCGCCACGGCCCGGACGCGCAGCACGTGGGTTCCGGCGCTCAGGCTGTCGTAGCGGAACGTGACGGCGGACGGCAGCGTCTCCTGAGGAACGAGGCGGCACGGGCGCGTCAGGCAAGCAGCGAGCGAACTATTTTCACTATAAGGAAGCACCGTGTTTGTGATGCCAATTGCGATGCCGTCTTGACGCAAAGTGGCGCCACCACAGTCGTCAATTAGCGTCAAACCGCGTTCCAGTTGGCGTGAAAAAAATGCCGATTCCTGCCGGTGTTCGCTTTACATTACTGATTTGCTAATTTGCTTGCTGGCTACAATGGCTGCGTTGCTTTAAATATCCCTTTCGCTTTTGAAGCAAAAATTGCCAATTTTGCAAAAAAATTGCGAAACGCACAAATTCAATAAATTTGTGATAGTGGTGGCATTCACGATGGCGTGTTTGAAAACGAGCGCGTGTGTCCAAAAGGCAATTGCGTGGAAACGGAACGTTTTACTAGCAAGAAAAGGACAGGATAGCACTTTTGACGAACACATATACATGCATTTCATCAGTATTCATGCTAAAAACACGAAAACGACCCAAACCCGTAAACTTTGTACACATTTGAACACTTGTTTCGTGGCCCTTTTTTCCCCAGTTTTTCCCATAGTTACGGATGTGCCGTGAGTGTGGAAACGCGCAGCTAGGAAGCAAAACGGCTTGTGCAGCGCTTTCTGCAAAGCGTGGCACCCGGCCCGTGTCCCACAGAGGCGCTGCCTGTCTGGCAATGGCGCGCTTGATGATCGGAATGAGGAAAAAGCAACAAACGACCACTTGGCTGGCACTGGTGCCAATAGGCACTAGCGGAGGCTCTCCGAAATGCAGCTGCCACATGACTTTATGCGATTCGTAATTGTGGATTTGTTCCCACTTGGCGCGCTGTTTTAACTGAAACGTGTGTTTGAGCAATTGAGCTGGCAGCATACGTGGATGAAACCCCAGGAATAGGGCTGCTGTTGCACTCACAGCAGTGACGAAATGGGAATAATTTCGCACCCACGGGTCACACAACTGGTTCCGATTCAAGACGGCTGCCATTGTGATTATCAAGGAAGAATCTTGTTTAATAAGTCGTGCTTTGTGGCCACGAAGACTTTTTCGGGCACTCGATTGGCTCGATGCCAATGCAATTATGAAAGCCCCGCTTTCACGCAATTACAGTAGCATTCAGCCTAAAAAGGAATTGAAGAACGCAGCATCTTAAATCGCGGAAAACACCTGCGTGAAACAGGCAAACGCCACCCATCTAAATGATCGCAGATCTGCGATGCGGTTGCCTGGCAGCGCCGCGCACCTGGTCTGGGCAGTCGAACGCAAACGAAAGTGACGTCAGAAAGCTGCAGACTCCTAGGGAGGTCCCCGCAATGTTGGGATCCACGGGCTCAAGTCCGCCGGGCATCAGTACCCGCACTGTTGTCGCGCCCACAGAGTCCGGCGCGGTGATCTGCAAGCAGCACAAAGCAACCTATCGATCCATCTGACAGTCATACAGCGAAGCGCTGAATCAACCACGCGTATCGCTGAACGATTAACTACCGATTGCGGCCGAAGCGCATGAGTAATTAGTTATCCATGTGAATGATTAGATGGACAGTTTCACTGGACGATCGACCGATGGGTAAGCCAAGCAATCGACCACCAATAAGGCAAAGAGGAGCCACGGGGAATGACATGCTGAGCGACCACCCGGCTGCTGGCGACGCCAAAGTGCTGTGCCTGTTCCCTCGAAGAAAACTACAGGTCCGGATAATGAACAAGATCATTGAAAACTGGTAGAATTACAGGATATTGCCTTCGCCAAAATGACAGCTGGTAAGTCGGCGGATTCAAGCAGCTGTTGAGCAGTCCAACAAGTACACACCGCTTTGGACTGCAGTATCTCTCATGATTTGTTGCGCTTTTCGGCGCGCGAACTTCGTGGCGCGTTACCTGCACAGTGACGATGACGATGGAGCCCAGGGGTACAGCGGCCAGGGGCGCACCCATCGGCTCGTCGAAGTCGGACGATGCGTTGACCAATTGAATCGCCTGTTTTGACCAAGCAAACTATCAACGAGCCAAACAATATTTTTGCGCCAAAAACAAGTATACAATGTAAACAGAGAATACTTTAACAATGACACTCGCCCATCAATCCCATCAATCAGTGGCCGCAGTTGCCATCACGACAGTAGATTTACCCTATGGGCAAATCGATTGTTGGAAAATATTGTGCGCAGCCGGGGCCATGATCTGCAGCTTTCGACGTGAATAATGGTCTAAAAAGCATATCAGAAAACAGTCTCCGTGGATTCGACAGCGCTTTCACGCGGCACCTGCATCCACCCATTTCGCCTGTTCGATTGCTCTTCTTCCCTGCTTTCTTCCTCTCCAATTTCGAGTTGCAGGAGCATCAGAGAGAACAAAAGGCGGGAAAGCAATGCAAAATGCATGACGTGCAAAAATGGGCAATAGAGAATCGAAAACAATCGAAAAGAGTGATTGGAACTTGAAGACGGAAGGGCGAAACACACAGGGAAAAGAAGCCACAGATGGATGTTGAAATTGAAGAATGAATATTCCGAATCTGTCGCTCAGTGCTCAGCGTTCTTTGGTAAAAGTAGCGCGAGTATGAGGCTCAGCACTTGCTGTACTTGACTGCACCACTTTTGCTGAAAGAAATAATGCAGAGAAGCTCGCAGATGCCTGCTACCTGCTCGACGTATATGCCCCTGTATGAGGGGAACAGGAGCGGCTCCGCGGGCACGAAGTTCAGCAACGCTGCGACGGTGACCTCCCCTGTGCCCTCAGCTGAAAACTCCAGCGGTTCCGGCATTTGGGTCAATGCAGCCCAGGGAGTTGTGGAGACAGCCAAGGGCGACTGCGGTGATGTGAACTCGGCCTGCAAGCGCAATGGGCAGCGCCAAATTCAAACACGGCTGAAGTTCGCTGACCGCTGTGCAAAATGCCGGTGAGCAATCGAGTGCGAATGGACCGCGAAAAGCTTGGCAAAGTGGCGGCGTGCCGGTGACGACATAATTACCAATGCGCTCCATGATGTAATGGCGAATCATTGGCGATAGCTAATGCAGTGCTCGCAGTTATTCTTGTCCAGGTAGGAAGGTTCTAAACCAGATTCAGGCGACAAGTCCCGTCAAAAACAGCATGTTGCATAAAGCTGGTAACCTTTATGCCCTGTTGGCGGTCAAATTCAAAGCAGTCAAATTAAACCGGGCAACAAGACTTGGATACAATTGAAGGTGGGGCCGAATACATTGTAGAAGTTGGCACTGGATTGGGAATGCCACCAAGCGCCATTATTTGTATTCATTGCGAGCTTTTCTACCTAGGCCAATCCTTGGCCGTTGTCTTCCCAAAAAGATGTTCCAGTTGCCGCAATTTGCCGTTTGCCTTTGCCGCTTTAGCCTTTTTTCTGTCCGGTGCGGTTGCAAAATCTAAAAAGATAACCAGTTGTCCAGATGCTTCGTTGTTTAAAGAATATTTCAAGGTGGAACATGCACTTGTTTTGAGCGTAGTCAGAGGTGTGGGATCATCCAAGCATTGCATTGTCATCTCAGAGCAAGGTGCAGTAGCCCAGCAAATAGCACAACGCACATCAAGCATTTGGAAAATAATGGTGACTCAAATTTGGCCCAAGGCTGGCCCCATAGTCGACAACCCTATCATAAGATCCCTATGTAATGGTTCACATTCTCAGGCGATTCATCACAGCAAAACAAGGGAACACAATGCGGCACATGACGCACGGCGAGAGACAAAACACGTTTAGAGAAACAAACGCATGCTGGGCACACAAAAATCAAAGGCGCACAGCACAAGAAAACAATGTACTCAACAGGCATAGAGAACACTTGGAATATGAATCCAGGGAAGGTGTGCCGCACAACATGGTTGAGGGCAGACGCGGAAATATCTGCCAACCGCTTCCGTGCCACCTAGGTCAGGCCTGACAGCCATGATGCTAGGCGCCGTTCTCCCATAGATTGCGCCGCGGGGCGCCGTTGGCAGTGAGTACCCACCGTTCAATGCAGCTAGGTGATTAGTAACCGTATTACTAAGTGCGCCGTCGGTGAAGTTGTGCAACGCCGTTAGTGTTGATGGCATCTTGTGGCATTGGGTCCGTGCCACGGGTGCCGTTAAATAACGGCCTGCAATGCCGATTTCTAATACATTGCGCTGGCATATCAAAAATCTGGGGCAGGGAGCATTGACAATGGAGGAATTATTGCCTTGCAGAGCTTAGATATGGATATCGGAAACCAACTACCTTATGGACGCTTTTCGCAGGTGAGCCAAGCCTAACATGATGCAGCCGTGAATCAAACACAATGCCAGAATGTAGGTGCGACTGCACCATCTGCCCCGAGGACGCAACGGTGGGCAATGGAAATTCGACAGTCCAAGTCTGCTCCCCTACGTGTTCGGTGCTCCATCACCTAGGAGATTCAATCTATTTGTTCACATCTGTTATATTTCAAGACGATTCAAATTGAGAAAGGCGCAATAAAGGAGAAGATCTGGCCCGAACAAGAGCAGCCCCCATGGCAACTTTCGACTCAAGGACCCATCTAGATCATCAATTCTGTGGGGGAGAATTCAATTTGTATTCCATTCAATAATCTGGAAGTAATATAAGCAGCGAGTACAAATAATGGTAGACCTCAAACTCAAGAATAAACCCTTCCTTCACTTGGTCGCTGGGCCCGCGGTCCCGGTCTGTGGGGTCATTGGGTGCACTGCCCCTCACCCAGGCTGATAGTCGATCCGTATAACTGCCGTTGATTTACATTCTTTTCAGGAAAAGAAGTGGCACAGCAAAAACGCGAATTCTCTGCAAATGATCAATTAACGATTGGTCGTCTGATCAGAAATGACAATGTTCGGTGGCTAAATCAAAGGCGATTGAAATACAGGGCCCACCTGCAGAAGGGAGACTTCGCCGCTGGTGACATCCAGCTCAAGGTCAGGGTCGGTGGAACCCCTGGACGCGTCGTACTCTCCCAGCGCAAGCATGACCGCCAGCTTTTCGATGTAGTTGGCGAAATAGGCGAACTTCCCTGCTGGCGGGCTGGCGACGTAGTTCGCCAGTTTTTCACCGAACGGGCCCGTTTCGGCGCCAGCGCGGGTCATTGCCAGAAGAGCGAGGGCGTTTCCCATCAGGCCTGAAATCGGCGGTGCGGCGCAAGACAAGGTCACGTTCGAAATTGAGGGAGATACGGTCCGCGGGGTCGACGCGGTGCGCAAGGTGAAGTTTCGAGGCAATCTGCACGTCGCAAGACTCGTGGATCTCAGACAACGCCACATGGCGCTGTTCGCTGTATTGCGTACCGCTACAACAGATTAGTTACAGCAAGGGGAAAATTAATGGCAACTAATTAGTTACCGCAAGTACCTACAGGGAGCAAAATAGTTATAAGTAATAAATTACAGCGAGGGTTGCAAAGATAATGTGGCGACAACAGCAGCAACATCATTGCTATTGCACAGTATTTAGTTGCATTTGCAAGTGCCGCTTTTGCGGTACCAGGGGCGATGGTGACATTGCCATATTGGTAAGGGAAAAGCGCTGCTTAGGCTGAATCCTACAAGGACTCTTGGCGGCAATGACATACAAAGGAAAACCCGACCCAGAAAGCAGCCCACAGCTGCAGGGCGATGCCTTTTCAAAGTCGTTGCGGAGGTGCGACATCTGGCGTACTTGACAGCATCTAGTTCATGCATTCTCACTCGCATTCAGTGCGTATTTGTATCCATACCGACGCTGTTTGAAAGCGCGGGCAAACATTCAGAAACAAACGCTCTAAGTACATAGGCAGACACCACTGTAGAAGTTTCCTACATTGGACCTATAAGTGAGCCGTCGAATCCTGCATCAAACCAAAGCTCACCTGCTGGAGCGGCGCAGCCATCACATGCAGCAATGTAGGCAGTTCGGGCCCCGACACGGATGTTTGACGTCCAAGCTGCGACTGCCCTCTCAACCAGCTCCATTCCATCTTGACCCTCGGAGCTCAGCAGCGTGAGGGCTACGTGCGCCATGCCCTCCATCCCCAGATCGTCAAACTCGGATTCAAGCCGCTCCATGGAAAGGTCGGCCACCACCTGTGGATCAGTGCCCTTGGGAGCGGTCCAGGCACTTCCCAGAGCCAACCTGACAAGCACAGGACAGCGCATTTCATCTAAAACAATAAGGAGATGCCTGCAAGGCAACGAAAGTGCAAAATGCGGAACCTGTGTACACGTGTCCGTTTATTGCTGTTTGCCAGTCTGGACAGTGCTGTTCGCTGCGCATTGCTTGAGTGCGTTCTGAATTGCGCTGCAAGACATCTGAACCAACTTTTGCAGAGTGTCCCTAGTTGCGCACAAGGCGGTGCAATACTGTGGGCCAACTGCCAACCATAAAGAGCCGCGGTCAAAGAATAGGCTGTTTGGAAACAGGTTCCATGCATAATCGTGCCAAAATTGATGGACATCAGCGACACCAATTTGGTAACGTCGTGTATCCATACACGAGGCTTGTTGGTGGTACATTCGGCGTTGAAATTGGACAATTGGCTACAATCATACCACAAATGTATGTAATTCTCCACGTAGCATGCATGAAACAAGGCAAATTATTTACGTCAAATGTCAATGCCAATTTGTTCAACTGAGCATTTCTTTAGTTTGCCATAGCAAATAATACCTCTATGGCACGCATCTGCCTAACTAATTGCGTTAGTTGGACAATCACAAGGGAGTGCAGTATCAGCCGAACTTTCGGCGCATGGATTGGCGAACGGACAACATCTCTGACAAATTGGCCATATTCAGCAGGAGCTTCGAGGCTGGCACGTACGTAAACGGGCAGTTTTGAGTGCGCGTTTCAAATGGGGACTTGCTCCTATGTCGATTCCACAAAGTGTGATGTATGTGTGGTCGCATGAGAGTGTGATCCCGGCGGCCAGCGGTTGTAACGGGGTTGATACATTTTATGCTCGACAGCTTGCAGTAAAGCGCACATCGAGGCGTCAGTCTACTTCCAACTATAGATTGCTTATGAGGCAATATCGGGACTACCTTGCAAGGGCGACGGTAGACAACTGGATGGCTCTTGGGTTTTTGCCGCTCCGTTCTTCCGAGGCATCGCTCAACAGCTGGGCCTCAAGGGCCGGCCGCCAGTACTCGTCCACTAGCATTTGTAACGTGTTGGAGCCATCCAGAAACGTCTGGAACACCCAAAAAACACAAACGCACTTCCAATATCCACGCAATTACAATCGCACAGATAAACGCAGTCTGTCATCTGCAGGAAATGCACAGGATATCAAGCATTAGGCATACCACAGCAAGTGCTTTACAATGAGTGCATTTCAACCAGATTCCAAATTCCAGCAGTTACATCTTGAAATACAAGGGCGCTGCAGAAATCCTAGCGCACGACGGTGGTAAGGGCGTAAAGACCTAGCTGGCCGTGGCCAGCAGGAAAGCAGAAGTGGACAAAACACATGAGGTGGCCACAAGCAAAGTGGGCAGAATTCTGTGAGGGGCGCAGGGATACTGACAGAAGCCTGTCCATTCACGACCACAGTCTGCTGCTGGAAACATCACCTGACCATTGAACAGTACTTCACGGAGTCGACGAAAACAAGAAAGTTCCCTCCTGCCGCCCCCTCCCGCAATATGCGCATTGCATATGTGTGCAGACTAACCACGTAGGCCAGCTGAATAATGGCGCGTCTAAGCACAACTGAGCAAACCAACAAACGGGAGCAACAAATGTGGCACACAATACAAATGAATAGCAAGTTGTGCAGCATGCTGTACAGCACAAGTTTGCACCCCGTCCTCCCCCCCTCCCCCATTGCGATAGCATTGCCAGTGCATTTTTCTACTGGAAAATGCTCTCCACGCCTGGTGTGACGGAATTCCCTAACCATCGTATGCACGTATCTCTTTTGTTAATTTCTTGTTTTAAAACTTTGTTGCTTTTAGCTACTGCACGTATGCGCCGCGTTCATCAGGTAAAGAGGAGGGATGAGAGACGTGGAAACGGTTTGGGTGTATATGTGCCCGCCGTCAACTGCAAAAACGTGCGAAACCCTCAAGTTGCCTTTCAAAGACATTTTGCCGAAGATATTTATTTGCCTACCTACGCACGACACCGGGCATTTCATGGCCCAAAATCCATTCAATATCAACGGACTATGTATTCCGTTGCGTGTGCATGCTCTGGCCAGGCACTAGCTCCTCGACAAGCGTGCTCTATCAGATGCGCCCCAACAAGATTCGCAGCATCGAGACGCCAATTTGTTGTTCCGATCGCGAAGGCAGTACTTGGAAATAAGAAAGAGTCTTTCAGGCGAATTGGCCACCGCGTTGGCACTTCAACCAGCGCCACCAGCGCCACATTCCACCAGCACACGGCCAGCACACGGGCCCGTTGCTTCAATCGCTGCCTTTGCGCACCTCCCGTTTCGTTCCCTGCAGCAGGGCCCCCAGCGACTCAGCGAGCCACACGCCGTAGGCGTTCATGTGGATGCTCGCTCGCCCGAGCGGGTTCGATTTGGAGCGCTGCGGGGGGCAGGCGACCCACCACCTCAGGCCGTGCTCATCATGAGTCAAGTTGCCGACGGCGAGGTTGGCCAGGGCGATGGAGAAATTCGCCTCAGATGCGGCCACCAGTTCCTCGGCGGCGGGGTCCAGCTCTTCGCCGTCGTCCGGGGTGTAAAGGCGATACATCTGGAGGACCGAAGGCACCCCGGAATGGGCAAGCTCGAGGGAGCCGTCGTTGGGGCAGCTGTGCCTGAGAGGCGCAAGACTGTCAGTCCTCCAAAACACACGCTTGAAAATGTGTGGCTGTCGACATCACTAGGAAAAAAAGTACCAGATGACCAGTGTTCAAATGTGTACAAAGTTTACGGATTTTATGTTATTTTCGTGTTCTTAGCATGCAGAACACTGATGAAATGCACGTATATGTTTTTGCAAAGAGTGTTGCTTGGTCCTTTTCTTGTTAGCGCATTGTTTGATAACAAGAGCTGCAGGGTTTGGTTCCCTAGAAGATTCGTTCTACCACATTTCCTCAAATGTGCTGGTCAGGTCTGGCTTCGGTCCAATATACGGGCCAGACCACCAGGCCCGTCCAAAGCATGGTCTAGCGCATCCTCAAAATGCTGGTTTTGGTGTGGCGTGGCTTGTGTTGTAACACGCTGTGAAGTGATCGGATTCGGAGCCGCCTTTCAAGGACGCCCATCATATCCCAGTAAGTGCAAGGCCATCGATTTGTCAGGCCTTTCCAAAAGTGATAAGCCTAGGCTCACATCCTTTTAAGGCGGGTGTGGGCATGGGTACAACGCTTCCACAAGGGAGTGATCCAATCGCAGACAGGAGGACGCACGAAAACCACATGGAAACACCTTGCTTTTGCACACCGGAAGCGGTTTTGCAATGTTGAACATATAGATGATGAGTTGAATCATTGCATACCAACGAAGCTTGGAAAACTCCCTTTAAACGAGGTTACCAAGAAGCAACATCAATTGAGTGGACCAGCACTCTGACGCCGATCCGTACTTGACATCAGCCTCCATGATCTGGCGGGCGTGGCCCAGAACGGCAGGCAATCTTCCCACTCCTGCAAGAAGCTCGATGCTGCCTGCGCCGGGCAAAGCATTGGGCAGTTCCAGCCCTTCCACGGCAGTGGCCCCCTCGCCTTCTGTTGCTTGGATGGCAAAAGACGTCGCGACTGCCACGGCATCTTGCAGCCCAAGCACTGGCACCGTCAAGCGAAGGGCATCCTTGTATCCCTTTCCGCCATCTGCAGAGAGCAAAGCAGCAAGTCAACTCACAGGCGTGTGCATGGAAATGCGCTCAAAACAAAGCGACTTTCGCATTTGGCGTCAGCAAGCGTATACTGCGTTTTTAGTACTTGTGCATCTCTCAACATGCGCGCTCTGAACTTGGTGTCTGACCGTGCGAAATTAAGTAAAGCATGGTGATGGGCAAAATTTTGCAACCGCTGCCAAAAGGCTGTAGAGGGCAGAGGTGCCTGGGACACTATGCAAAAAATGCCAGAAACAAGGCAAAACGAAGATGAAAACATTGACTGTGATGCCAGATAAGCAAAAGGCATTCACATGACATGATGCCTGTCATTGAACATTACTGTCCAGTTGGGCGAAGGATTGTTGTGTTTCGTTTTCAAAATACAAGTGCTGGCATGGACCTGTTGGGGAAAGCGGATGCGTCTCGCACTTAATTCGAGAAACGATATCAACATCGCAGCTCCCACATTGCATCACATCGCTGTGCCGAAATGCACGATGAAATGCGACACCATACGCAGCAGTGGAGTGACACAATACAATTTTCAATCAATAACACGGTCCTGCATGGTGTCAGTACATAACAATGCAATAGGCACAACACACTTAAACTAACCTATCAAGACTACGTTATTTGGGTTATTTGGGTTATTTGGGTTATTTGGGTTATTTGGGTTATTTGGGTTATTTGCGTTATTTGGGTTATTTGGGTCACGCTGGAGAGTTGCCATTCAGAGCCTAGCACAAAGCACTCACCTGCGCTGATAAAAATCGCCGCCTCCCCCAAAGCCAACGCTTCTAACACGAACCGAACCTCCACCTGGCCATCAACATCTGTGACAGCCTCCATCTGAGACTCCCCGGCAACGGAAAGAAAATCCCCAGAACCGTCCTCAATTTTCAGGTCCACCGTCACCGGCACATCAGATGCCGATTCACCAGACACGGTAACAATGACGCCGGCCTCAAACTTGTCACCCACTCTCACGACGCGAGGCGACGAAGGCGTGAGAGACAGCCTTCTGCGCACGATCACCTCTGCCTCTGTGCTTCCAAAACGACCCTTGTCTGCAATGACGTGAATGGTAACAGCCTTGGGCTTAAGTACAGAAGTGAAATGGACAGGACGTATTTGATCCGATGCCGTGGCTGCCAAAGATTGAACGAAAGAGCAAGGACACAGATTTTCAATGAAGCTTGAGCAAGTCTAACGGACATGAATTTGAATCCAGGAATTTGACAGCAACTTGAAGCTAGAAGTCATCGATGGAATAACGGAGCCGCCGAAAGCTTCCCCACATGCGTAGTGAGCGATGCAATGTACCACCTGATGTCTCTGAGCGCTTTTGTCATATAGATTTATGCAAATTTTCTTCAAGCTTCCAGGAAGATTGAGCTTAGCAATGCAACACATGCCAAAAACAGCATGCTTGCCATTGACCGCAGGTTTCGCAGGCATGACAGATAGTCACCCAAGATGCTCAATAAAAACCCGTCTCACCTGTTCCAGCATACGCCCTCACAACAAATGTGCCAATGTTGTCAGGGGCGGTGAAATCCACCGTCCCGAATCCCCCCTTGACTGGACCGATTGTCGTGAAAAGGGGAATGGCCGTAAAGTCCGCCTGGCTGCGAATGGCTTCCTCAGGCAAAGCAGATGGCAGTGGAGTCGATGGCTCGGCGTTTTGTGGAGGTGCTGTAAATGACCTCGCCCGCGGTTTCGCGCTGGGGCCAGTGCTGTTGGTTCCCTCGTCGTCGCTCCCCAGGGACAACGGAACAATCAAGGGACCGGAGCCCGTTCGCGGGGTGTACCCAGGGACGTGGATCTGCGCACCAAAGCAATGGACATGGCGTTAACGCTCACGAAGTGCAGATGCGTCGAAGCGTGGCAACCAAGCGCCGTTTCGACACATAGCAATGGCTGCCAGCTGACGTGCGCGGCCATGAACTGCACATGTAGATCAAGGGCAGATGGTGCACGTCGTAAAATGGGGACTGAATCACTATCAAAGTCCATCGATTGATGGTGGAATGGAGGCACGTAAAACCCGTTTATATGCGGATGGCAGTGGTGAGGCTGCTCAGTGCAATTAATTCAACTCGCCAGAGAACTGTTCAGATCAGACTCCGCATACATCCAGCTCCTGTGATCTGGATGATCTTGCATCACGAGAGTTTCATGTCAGCTGCGTGTGATCATTGTGGCCATTACACAAATGACACAGTTTACGAGGCAGCCGCTCCCATCTGAGGTGGTCAGACCTGCTCTACCTTGCAGGTGAATGAAACTGAGCTGCTTTCAACTGATGCTGTTGAAACTATCAGTTACTACCTATCAGGTCAATTTGCCTGAAACGTTTTGAATGGGACTTTTTGTCGCTGGCTGGTATCCTGAGCGCGAACAATAAAAGTGCCGAATGCAATGCAGAAAAGCACAAAGATGCACAACACCGTCACACAAACTGTGGAAAGTGTGAAAAGCAACGACAGAAGCGATATGTTGGCGTGCAAAGCAGAAATCAGAACATCGACCAAAGCAATTTTCCCACCAAATTATCTATAACGGCCCAAGGGTTGTCTTCCTGCTCCTTCATGAATCTCTTGACGAGTGCCGTTATTGCCCCTGGTGCGTGCAAGTACTCCGAGGAAGAAACCACGTCAAAACTCAGGGCGAGGTGGAACACAAAATCCAGGGCCATGTCCTTAAGCTCGTAGGGCACAAGTTCCAAGACCGCCTTGTCGACTGCCACCACTGTGAACTCGACATCTTCCCCGTCACTCAAGTTGCACGACAGGGGTTCTTCTGCCCCTGGGCAGGGTCCAACTGAGACAGAAATGGGAGTGGCATCCTGGGGCGCCATGATAGGGGTGTCTTCGCCGGGGGGAATCTCCAAGTCAGGGAACAAGAGTTCAACGCCCACAATGCGATCCTGGGGGAAACACCACATCAGCTCACAAGCATTAGTCTCATGCCATTTGGATCCGCATTCCATGACTGCTGCAATTCATTTGTTGGCAGTGTACCCAGACTTTTGCAGAGTTGAACATTGTGGATGTAGTCCAAACTACATCCGGAAAATTCAGTTCTGTCAAAAGGGTATTTTGAGGGCGTCTACAGCATTTCAAGCTTTTTGGCAATGACTGCTTGTGGTGATGATCACCGCATGCACAAAGATGGCCCCTGGATGAGAAAGCCCGATCCTGGTACCTAGGTTGCCCAGGCAACCAGGGTGCTAGATGCCACAGACGCCATGTCTCGATCGATACTTTGCTGGGTAGTGAAGGAAGCTACAAGTAAGAGATTCATCCAGTAATCAATGCTGTTTTTGCGTATCCATAAAAACAATAAAAGCCGCTTGGCCAGTTCCAAGTACAATGCGTAAACAACGTTGTGAGCACATTGCAGACAAAGCAAGGGCGCCCCCGATATGCACACACTAGGCGGGTACCGATGCCAGCACCTAAATTGGGGCATAAACCATTAGTAGCAAGAAACAGGCCAAATACGCGGTTCGAAAATCATGTAAGATCGTGTGTGTATCGTGTACTTATTTTGTAACGATTGAATGAGTGTACATGATTTTTACACGTTTTGCCACGGTTTTACACGATTTTTACTCAGTTCTGAACCATGTACCTTGGCCGATTTTTTCTTTTGGCTAGAAGACCGGTCCCTGTGCCGGTTTCCGTCTTTGTACCTTCCATGGTATTGGTCACAGACGCGATGGCCATCTAATGCCGGCACACCGGGAACATTGCAGGAAAAGTAATGTAGCATTTGTGTAAATCGCCGAAGGGCTATTTATGTTTTACTTCATTGCCATGCAATTCTTGTTTCGCAAACGATAGCTACCATTCCATGACTGTCCATCTTCATGAAGAACTCCTAGGCTTGCGCCTTTGCTGCTCAGCCATCTGTTTCTTCCACGTACAGAGAGACTTCACAGGTGCATAGCATTGTTTGTAGTGCCAATCCATTCTGCAATACCCATTAGGAATTTGGGCAACAAAGATTTGCTGAGGGGCCCCAAAGAGTTGGGCAAACAAGGACACCTGTCCAACTCTGATTTCTTCCTGAAGTGTCACTGTCCGCGGCATGGCTGGGTCATAGTAGATGGTGGATGGGATGCCATGGGGGTTGACATCCACTTCCTCTTGCCTTGGAACGTTGATGTGGACAAGCGCTGAACACCCAGCAGCGCAAGTCTCGTCGACTGGAACGGATATGCTCGCCAGCTGCTTGTCTGGCAATGGAATGACCTGTTGCACGAACAGGAAAGCGTACATGTGTCAGAAAGTTATAGCATACTTTCAGATATAAAACTGCGAAATCGTCTCATAATGCACAGCCGTAATGTACAAATACAATGCTGCATAATCAGAGCAAGTGTCCATTATACACAATACACTTGATTTCGACTTGAAGTATTATGGTACAGCATGCATAAATATCTGCACAATAATGGACTGCGTGGCGAGCCAGGACCAAATGTTGTGGTATTAATGCTCGTGGGACTAAATGCCCTTTCGAGAGAATTTATGCGCCAAATCTGGCATCCACCGTAAAGCATTCGGGCTTACCATTATATGCCAGTATTTTCTGTCCGCTACTAGCATTTTTGCTGTTTCTACTTTCGCCATTTGGTCTGGCGAGATACTCTATTGTTATGGAACCATTGGCGGCCGATAAATGATGAGAGGCTGCTCGCGAGGCGTTAATTCGCCTAATAGACACGCAGCGAACGTGTTGCAACTGCAGCCAGCGTGCACAATAAATGCTGGTCGACACAACAGCAAAGAGAATGGTGGATTGCTGCGACAGTCTTTTACCTTCTTGTCAAGACCAAGGGAGCTCCCCCACATCACAAGTGCGCTGGCGTCCTTGTAAATGTTCTCGATTTGGAATTCTACCGTGTCGCCCACTTTCACCACGCCGTCGCTCACCCGCAGCAGCTTGATGTCGATAAAATCTCCCCATGGACTGCCAGCAGGAAGGACACCAAAACAATGAAAATGCAGCTGCTAGCAAAAGTGCTGCAGGCACGCTGCAGGCACGTGCAACTGAGCGGGCTTCAATGAAGCTGATTGGAAACCATTTGCAGCAGTATTGCACAATTATGCACTGGGCGTCTGTGCTGTTCCCAGGCAAAATCACCTAGAGCAACCCTAACAGTGACAAAAAAGATGCAATGGTCCATCCATATTTCTGTAGTGAAAAACTGCTTGCAACCAGGACATTTACTTGACTTGGTACGCCATGCAGTCTACATTGCAGGACTTCACACAGAACGGATAACGACAGTTGCCTACTTTTCTTTCCACTCGGTCTTGTTCTTTCCCAGGAAAGTGCGGAAACACGCCCTGTTTCCATCCTTGTCCTCGACACAGGACTCAAGAGCAAATCTGCCCATATCCTCCAACTGGAACCTGCATTCATCTCCTTTATCTGCACACATGACATTAGGCAACATAAATAAAGAATGGCACCAAAGAACGAGGTCAGGCTACACAATTTACCATTCCAATGGAGGATTCGACCAACATCAGACAAATTGACGACGGGCACAGATGGTCAAGTGTTTCCAGTGCAAGAACAAAAGGACCAAACAACACACACATTAAGAACTGCGTCAATGGAAGTAAACTATGCTTGACACCATCAAGGGGACAAAAGAGCAGCCATTGGGCCATCAACGCCGCACACCACCCGCATTGACAGCAAGATTCCAACATTCGACGCTCTGTACAATAGTCTGGCCTTTGCATTGATCGATATTGTGCTTGTTGTGCCCAACTCACTGATTCCTGTATTGTACTCTTGTACACGGATTCTTTGTGTTCAGTGCACATTTGGAATCACATTTGCATTATGCACGCAGCCATGCTACTTGCCCAGCAGTACTTTGGAAAAAACAAGTCATCATGCAAGTTGGATATGCAGACAGGTATGCACTTGCACAAACGGGGCTACACAGTGTGATGCGATGCAATGCAACGTGACATAGTGTTGTGCAGTGATGCAGAGCCGCAACAATGCCATGACACAAGATACGATATGAGATGCTGTGGTATGGCATGAACTGTTATGATGGTTGAGCTCTCTTTTTGTCAAGGTGCTTTGGCACTGCACCTCATACATTAATGACCAGATGAATTTCCACTGCTAACTTGACGAGTAATGGGCATGTGAACATTTTTCAACAAAGCCTCTGAACACAAGCAAGGATGAGACGTCAGTGAGTTGCATATTACCCTGCATCACCACCCAGACCGCGCACAGGCATACCATCCACTTTACAGCACAGGCAACAACACAACACGTCAGATCGAGTGAAACCAACGTACAGACACTGAGCACAAAGCAGCGCATGCAATCGCACCCGAACTTGATTCACAGGTCTTCAGCACTTTGCCATTCAAGGGCTCCTTTGCCACCGCTTGCAATACATCGTGACCTGTGCGCTCCACTTGCTGTTTGATATCCTTGCGAATGTCCACAAGGCTAATGGAAACAGGTCCATCTATTGGGCCACCTTGGAGGTCTGTGGCGATGGCTGACACACCAAACGCCACCCCTGACACATCCGTGTCCAAGGTTCGCACGTGCACGATTTCCACATTGGCCGCCCTCAACCTACAAAGCATTGTAGTCAATCGACCAATCATGCAGTCGTTCATTCAAATTTTCATTCACAAACTAGAATACTAAATTGACTTATCTGCACATTGCTCGTTGCCACACATCAACGACATCACCACAATTTAAATACCACCACTAAATTTTGCTGCAACGCGTGCATGCATTCCTATGAATAACGTGCAATATATTACTTCATAATGCGCTGCTTGAAATGTGTCATTGTGCAGGATCATTATTGAATTACATGACAATCTTGCCAATTTCAACACATATTCCAACAACGATAGTGCACCTGTAGCGAGGCACAGAACAATGCACAGTCATTACTAATCATGATAAGTTAGCATCACTGACACTGAGCAATATATGCACTATCCCTTCACCTGTATGCACTGAGCGAAATTATCCACTACGCTGTTCTGGCAATAGTTGCAAGAACTAACTGCTCAGTTTTGTTGTGTGGTTGCATGAATTGCATACTCATTTGCAGATAATTAGGACTAGAAAAATGCAAGGTGCAGCAGTGCCCAAAAGGAGCCACTCATGGACTCTAAATTAACAAGTGAAGGAAGTTGCTCGTCCCATTCAGGGAACCGTCAGTGCATATGCGCACACTTCACTGTATCAATTCAGCGAGGCCATGTGCATAAACAGTAGAATTTGCGCAAACATCCACTACCTCCAACCGAAAATCAATATTCCTGTCTGATTTACAAGCGCCAATTCTCCCTTAACTTTGGTCCATGTGTAAATCCATGCCAATTGGGGACACAAATTTGGGATAGGCAATCATAAAATTTAGTAATTTCATTCAGTCTTTCAATTATTTGCAACACTTGTAGGTGTTCTCATGCTAGAATACTTAATTCCTTCATGTTGTTGCCGAACCAGACGGAGACAGAGAGCAACTCGTACCCAACTATCAGAATTATTCAGAGTGAATGGAATTCCATTGTTTATGAAGTGTAAGCCAATGGGCAATGCACTCCAAAGTGCCTGATTGTAGAGCTTGCTGCAATTTGTGTGTGTAGGGCAAGATTGATCAGTTGGACCAGAGACCCTTCAATGTGTAGATTGGACTTGAAAAATTGGACCTCCGTCACACCAATAAGAGCACCTATGGGACGCCTCGTCAGCCCTTGAGGATTTGCAAGAGATCACCTCAATTGGGTGGCAAATCATTAGGATAATGGGCTATAGGGTGGGAATGACCAATTGGCCACTTTGCGGAATCTCCAAATGGTGGATGCAATAGAACAGCTGGATGAACGAAACTGTGCCAAACTTAGGAACACAGAACACCTAGGTCGTGAATGATTGTGGGCCACGCGCAGGCAGTTTGCCACAGGCAGCACCTTATAGTTTGCTGGCCGAGCGCAAACAGAAAAGCATTGATTCGGGTATCAATTAAGGCAGAATAATCCAAGAGAGGGTGCAATATAAACCCAGAGAAGCATTAAAAATCAGGAAGGGACAAGATCTTGGAAATCAATGATGCCCCAATGGCGGCTTCTGTAATCAAGATCCCAGCACAGTCGAGTGTGTGTGGCAAGTGTTATTCCATGTGTGCGACACCGCCCTCCACCACAGTAATGACTTGGCTTTGCCACACCCAACAGTGTGAAAGGCCTTCAATCAGTGGATCTCTAATGGATGCAAATTTTGAATGCACATTTTGGCCAGAGCAAAGGCAACTCTAGGAGGTGCTCAGAGGTTGACGCTTGACTTATCAAATAAGCGATGGTGAAATTGGCATGGAGGATGGACACATTAACACATGCATACATTTGCTAAATCTTCTGCTTAACATATTCCAACAAGGGAAAATAAACAAATTTATTAAATCATTCCATGACATAAAATCAAATTCCTTTTATTCATTCACAATTAAGATTAAGTATTTTGATCCAGTTGTTTATCTTACACATCGAAAACATGAACTCGAGCGCCTGTGAGGCAGTCAACAACGAAGCTCCAGTGCTTCTTCATGGTTCAACCAGAAAGCGGACTGTCTTGCTTGAAAGGCACTGCCACATTCACCGCCGCTCCGCAGAATGTCCAGCAACAGATAACCTCGCTTCACCTTCACATGCAAAACGCATTTGAACGCGACTCAAACATATTACTGGCCAATCCACTCACTTGACGGTTGCCGACCTCCTGATGAGCTCTCGTGTTGGCCCAATCCATTGGATTTCAATTAGTAATGATGAGGGAAGAGAGGGCGTCACCTCCAAGCCGGTCAGATTCACCGCCACCGCTGCCATTCCCGAATCGTCTGTTGTGAACTCTGTCTGGCCGTTCGCTTCTCCACCGCCTGCGTGATTTTTGACCAACAAAATGCAAGTTGGTCAGGACTCCAAAATACACAAAAGCTATTGCAGATGAGCAACCTATAAAAATGCATGTGGAAGCACATCAGACAGTGGAGCACATTGAAGTGGTCAGGCAGACACTCACCAATTTCATGCGCAATGGCCATTCTCTGCTGGTTATTGGAGTTTCAGCACTGCATACCATTGCCTTGTTTATAGCCCCTGCGTGTTTTAAGAATTTTCTTGCAGAACCCATTTGTGCAACTGCTCATATCCAATGGTAATAAGTAAAAGGCATATTATAGTGCAGGCATTCTTTCTCGTCTGGCCCAAATGACAGAACATTTTTGCAAAAACCCGATTCAGACAGATTCCAGCAATGCCACAACAGGTCTGCCAAAAACTCTTGACATTTCTGAACACAGAACTTTGCTGCTTCAAAGTATGCATGCATCAGGCCATTTAATCAGAGAAGAAGTTGTCAATGCCCAAGGAAAATATCACCTTCAACTCTCCATTCAAGCTGCATGGTGGCTTCCCCAATACCGGATCCAATCAAACTCGTGGCAGACACATTGATATGGACATCTTCTGTGGGCAGTGCCTGTACATGTACATCCATAGTAATTTTGTTTGCCTCTGCACCAGCCATTGCTTCTAGCCTCAAATGCACCACAAGTGTGCACACCAGCTTGACACAAATACCCTCTCAAGAACGTCTATTCCCAATACAGTTTTCTTTCCATGTAATCGAACATGACCTAGTGCACACGATTGTTAAACGCCAAAAAAACACATGTGTTTTGCATCCCAAGCCAACCTAGTTGCACATTTTTTAAAATTTGCTTATGCGACACAGCAAATCACATTTCTTTGATCCCCAATTGGTAGCAGCGGGGTACTGAAGCAACATCGTGCTTGTTGACAAAAGGCAGTTGCAATACAAACCAAACCATACACGTGCTTCAAAATACTTGGTGAGCTTATGCATGCAATGCACATAATGGTGTACACAAAACGGCAAAGCAAGACACAGGCAATGCAGTGATGAATACGGCATGACCCAATTCTGGGGAGCATGACAACAGTGCTGAAACTCACCCACTCTGGAGCCACAACCTCGAGCACGGCAGTGAGCGGCCGTGGATCACCGACAGTGAAACTGTCGAGAATGTACTCTTGCTGACTTTGCCCATTGCAGTCCTCACCCAAATATATCTGATAGTCTTTGGGTGTTGCACCTCCTGGGATCTCGATCTGCCCTTCAAAACTGCCAAACTTTGCATCGAAGTCAACAGGAAATTCGCCAAAGGCATCAACGCGGAGACACAGACCATTTTTCGGCTCAAGGGGTGTCATGTCTGTGCCTTCGCGATGCCAAATGTATCCTGCCAATCCAAGGAATGTTATCATCAGTGGCCATCTTTTGGGCGAAGCATATCACAAGTGCAATGCTTAAGGAGGGCTGCGGCCACGACCAGGTGACCAGACCGAATCCACCATCGAGTACCTCTGCTTACGCCCTTGGCATCAATGTCCCCCTGCCCCTCCCCATCCCCCCACCCTTGTTGGGCATTCAAACTGGTCCCACGCGGTGAGCACTGCTTCAATTCAAACGAGTCATAATGTTGGCCATATGCTTGGTAGAGGAGCAATTTTCTGCCAGTGATGTTTGGTGCCGGAACTCTTGTAAGTAGTTGCATTTTGGTGTGCTTCAATACAGTGCAACGAAGTGCTCCAAACAGAAAATTGGCTGATAGGGCTGATGCGATAGATGGCACATGCAAGCTAAGCGAAGCTTTGGGCTGTGGCAGCAATGCTGGTGTGATTGGGTGCGATTGTGTGATGGCTCACTCCACAATGCCCACAAATGCCACCCCAATGATGAATGTGCTATTGCAGGATGCCAACCAAATGCACCCCCTTAAAGCCATTAGAAAGAAGCCAATGGCAAGATGCAGACTGCCTAGGTCTGGATATTAGGGTAGTAAATGCACAGCCGAAAAGGAGACTGGCATGATACTCAGAGTATTTGCAGATGCACTCCATGATTTCATGGATATTGTGGGAATGCTGCAACAAAATAATATGCCTTTTTGAGGAAAGTGCCAAGCCTAGTGCGAGTTGGCAAATTGGCAAAATTTTCTAGAGCAAATATATATATCAAAAGCATGTATTGAGTTCCAGATATTTATGGACACCTCCCCTGCACACTGCTGGACATCCTTTGCACAGCAAGACCATCACACAAGGGCAGCTGCTGATGCTGGACTTCGCAGTGCACATCAAAGCATATTTGCTTCCCCCCCCCACACACCCACACACCACCACCACCACCACCCACACACCATTTGAAGGCACTCCCATTGGTGTTAAACCTTCTAGTGGCACATGTTGACTGACACAGTGGTCGGTGCCATGAGCTACCCAGCTCATGCTGCATACCAGTGCACACATTAACAGCAAAACCTGATGCCTGACAAACATTCTTAAGATGCAGACAGGTTTGGGGGGCTTTGACCTGCACAGTTTGGGCTGTGTTTTCAGAGCGTTCTGAAGGTCGAGGCTACATTTTCATGTGTGGGAAGGGGACCAGGGGCCAACAATGTTGTGCAGAATCCACTATATGATCAGGTACCCATGCATGTCCAGCACTTGTGTGCGCCTGATCGTGGCCATGACTGCATTACAAACAGAAGCACACCTGCCCAACATTGGTGCCTAAGCTGCTATTCCGACCGGCTTTTTGCTTACCTTTAACATGCATCAGCTCCCCAGGCCGAGCCAGTTTACGATCCAAAACGGAAGATACATGCGTGCTTATGCTTGCCATTATGGCCTCATGGACTACAATGCCAGGAACAATGGTCAGCCTGCCATTGAACTCGATTGCAGCATAGCGGCCATCTTGAAAACCAATAATCAGATCTTCATTGCCATTGACTAAAGTCGCCATCCCATCTGCATCTGTCACGGCTGTGTCCATCACCTCCAATTTGTCCTGCCATGAAAGTAGCACGACGAAGGCTCAATTCTGCTTGGATTGAGCATCAGACATCATTGCTAGAGTAGGAAGCAGCAACAAAGTCTTGGGGGTGGGGATAGGATGTAACGTGTCCAAAGGATTTGGATGCTCAATGTGATCTGGACAGAAGATTTGTTAACTACAATCGGCATTATTACCATGGGCACAAAATCATCTGTGAAAGCTTCTAAATTGGGAGCTCATTAGGAAACGTGACACCCAACATTGCCCCCAATGCATTAGGCAAGGCTGGAAACCATAGAGTTCACATTACTGTTCACACATGTGGACTGTGTATCACACATATTTATTGCAATTAACAACATAATCATCTCAACAATACAATTTCCACTCATAATCAATGCAGATTTCCAAGGCGTGACTGCCCATATCATGTCAACATCCGCTGGCAGCAGTAAAGTAGCAAACTTGACTTCTGTTGCACATTTGCACAACACAATGAACTGGTGCACGTGTGACCAATACACTGTTCATAAAGCACCCAAGACAACATGGGGTCGGGGAGGTGCTGGTGCTGTGGCTCACATCATTTCTTTGCCAAATTGTGACCTTGGCATTTTCCACGGGGCTCCCAGTGGTCATGTCATGCACCCAGGCCAGGACATGCTTCCCAGGTGCATCGGCAGCCCCCGGGGCAATGAACGACGCCTGGATTTCTGACTCCATAGTCAGCCTGCAGCAAAGGAAATTTTCGGAAATTCACATCCAAGCAATGTGCTTTTGGGGTTTCGAGACCCGGGCTCATCGGACATTGGTTTTGGACACCTTGTCGTGTCTGCATGCACATATGTCAGCCCTGCAGGAAGCATTCACAACAAATGAATTCCAAATGCGATGGACTCTATTGGCACAAATCATGTTTGCCATGGAAAACAGCAGTGGCCATAGTGTACTGTCCAGACAGGATCAGCAGTTATCCGACTCAGTTGCCAGCTCGTACCAAAAATGCAATGATGACAAGTGCTCAGGTGTGTTGAATGGCTTCCAGGTAACAGAGCAGCTTTCTGTTAAATGGCTGGCTAAATGGAATGATTGTATGCATTGTCAACTTTGAAGTTCAAAATTTGAGCAACACACTGGAAGACTCCACCAATGTCCACAATGGATGTGGATTAATTACTGCTGGACTTGTACACCTGCAGCACTAAACGTCCAGCTAGTGCATTGGAAATACAGGTGGGGCAAGGTGGAACAATTATTAATTTATCCAAGGCAGTGATGCATCTGCTATATGCCTGCTATATTTGAAACATCAAGTTAGTGGCCCATTAGCCAGGAATATGGTCCTGAGCATAAACAACACTTGCTGATGTTATGCCAAGAAATTCGACGCAATTTCAAGTCTATTTTATTCCTGTCTGATCCCTCTCCGATTTCCTTCTAGTTGCCCTCTGATCCAAGTTGTTGCCAACGTTATATGCCAAAACATATATACCATATCAATATGTTTGATAAAATTGCGACTCGATTCGGCAACATGATATCGAGTGGGCGAAATGAAGTATTGGGAATATTTGCTGATATTTCGTTGACAGGGTATCAACCTTGACCTTGTGTTCCGGACTCGTTGTCTGAAGCTTGTTTTGAAATCTTGCTTAGGTTCCTTGCATTTGCTACATATATTAAATTCGGCTCCTTGTTGAGACCGTTCGAATTACCAGTCAGCTGCACTGCAAAATTGGCCGAAAAAGATGCCTGCGGGGTCCAACAAAGGCGATGCGTCCATCTCCTCGACTACTGCACTGCCGTTCCTTGACCCAGTTAGGCGAACATCTGCTGGAGCAACAGGACAAGTCAAAATAGGATGTTCATAAAAAACACGTATAAATCCTGTTTTGGTAAGGTGTTGTGTAAATAACTGCTCAACAGAGATTTGGAGATGTGTGCAATGGGAGCTCCTCTCAATGCAAACTGCGTCTCAATACCAGCAAGAACAGAAACGCGAGTGTGTGTGCAGAAAGCTGTTAGGGCAGACTTGTGCTGATACAGTTCTTCGATGCAAATGGAAATTTCAGCAGTTCCATCTCAGCCGACTGGCCAGTTTGCCAAAACTACTGGTCTGGAGATGAACTACAGGGAACACATCATATTTTCAGCGCCACAACACTGTATTCACGAAAGAGCAACACAAAATTGGAATGCGGCTCTTATGTCCCAGAATTTTCTCTTCGCATTTGCAAATATTGCTAGCAGCTGCAATCACTGTGAGGGACAGCATTTCAAGCAGTTAATACAGCTATTATGGGGAATTGCCAAAGATATTTCAGCAACTCCCTTGTTATTACCAGCTAGAACATGTCCAGCAAAACACGAGAGCAAAGCTAATGTGCAGCACGTCACGACAGAGCTTCATCCACATCAAATCGGACTCAGGCCAGGACGTCGTTGCTGTGTTCCATCCCCAATGCCATCAGATGACAACCTGAGCTGCACCAAGTCCCACTGCATCCAACGAATCCATATGCGTACCAACCTTGAATGCCAAGTGTCTCGAATGTCTCTGGCAGCTCGAAAGTGAGATAAGCGTCGAGTACCTGCACTGCTGTTTCAGCATCTCCCAGAGGCCAAGCCTGCAAGTAATGCACAATTGTATCACCATAATTGTGTTGGTTTTACCATGCAATTACCTGCAAACTGCCATGAGTAACGCCAGGTTCGGCAAGAGTCTAATTTCAATGACATATGCAACGTAATGAGTACGATATGTAGTTACGATACACCACGGCTTGCTTTTTTCGTGCGGTAGTAACAGCACACAGGTAAGTGCCAGTACTGCAGTAATAGTAACAAAGGCAGCTGAGAAAGAAATAGTGACGGTCGAATTGAACACCTTGGAAAGAGAGGTGTGGACAAACAGCATTGATGCGCATTCTACAAGCACTTAAACAACAAGATAATAGCATGAAAAACATGACAGAAGGATATCTTCCATACATAGCACCACCACTTCCATTTTTGCACAACACGAATCACGCTCCATGGAAACGCGGACAAACATTGCTTGGATGCTGCTCTACCTATTGTTGCCTGCTGGCATGCAAGAACTTCTGTTCGTTCCGTGTCTTTGGCAAATGTTTCCAAGGAAATAACTATCTAAGCATAACATTGCATGCTAGTTGCAGCAGCAACCAACAATACAGTATTGGTAGCAGCTGGTGTTCATTCCGCTGCACAGCTTCTGTAGCCATAAGATATTCATCAGCAAACCGAGTGCAAGATTGGTACCTTGCCAGTGGGCCAAAAATAGTGATTATGTGCTTTTAAAATACTACGACAAAGAAATAACAGCACATTGGTCAAGCCATGTGCCCTTTGTCCATTCGCATCAACAGCATATTTGACATATATGTGTTACATTTTATGAACAGGGGAATGCCCAGAACCATCGCCGATTCCAGCAGAATCAAAGAGTTGGGACCAAAGCTGACATAGCAGCTAATGCCACACTATATTCAACCTTTCCACATTTCGAAATTTCAGAGTTGCGAGCTTTGCACCCCGTTTTTTGACAGACTGTTTTTCTGGTGGGTTTCGCATTATGGCCACAGCGGGAATGGCGACTTTGGTCATTTCTCATGGCCTCAACGCATTGGCCTCAACACATGGCTCACTGCAGTTAATGGGACAATAGGGAGTGGCAATATGGGACCATGAGTAATCGATTCCGAACATATTATCTGCTTGGTTTCCACGCCCATCATCGCCTACGAGGTGCACGGGGTGTGTTTTGTCATTTTGTGACAGACGTAATCCATGGATTTTGATGATGATGATGGCCTCAACGCCAGTTTTCTGCCACAGCGACTCATGCATCCGAGGCCATAGGTGCCACAAGCACTCCAGAGACCCTTGCGTCATGGCTGGGGCTGCGCCACACTTTCTTAGCACTGCTACGTTTCTATTGTTGCTCCAAAAAAAGGAACATAGCAGTGCGATGCAGAAGAGTACAATGTACCACAGTACACGACCATGCAGGGTATTGCTTCTCAGTGTGCGAATAGAAGGGCAAATGCAGAAGTACACCGCAGCAACATGACTCAAGCTTTTTAAAAACCAGTATGGCTGTACTTGCACAAAGAACTAGAAAATTGGAAAACAGCTTGTCCTACCCCCTATCAAAGCTCAGAAAAGGGAAACCTCATCCAACTTGAAGTTCAACCTAGTCCAAAGCGATGTCTGATACCCTCCATTTCAAGATATAAAGACTAATGAGGCCTTTTCAGCATCTATTTCTGAAATGTATGAAGGTTTCACTGTCATCAGGGGCTTACAGTAATGGCTTTGTTGCAGAAAGCCCTTCACAGCTTTCATAATCTCCACACATAAATGTAATGTATCAGATGTTGGACTTGACCGAACCTAGATTTCCATAAGATTGAGGTTCACTTGGGATAAAAAATTTCCTCCACCAACTGTGGGCCAGGTCAAACCTTATTTTGGACTAGATTCATCCACTACAGCCATAGAAATAGATGTTATTCTATGAATATGTAACACTGATTTGTGCATTATTGGCATTTGCAAGGTGTTGTGGACAGCAGCAGAGAATAGCGGGGAATGCAGCAACAACGAACAAACAAAGATACAACATGCAAAATGCTGATACACAAAATTTGAACACAAGCTGACAGCACCACATAAGCGTAGCTGTTGATTTCTGCAAGAAATCGCACCTGCATAAATGGGACTTCATTTTCGCATACAAAGTTATCAAAATTGTCTTTCCTTGGGCGGCCCTTGGAAAGTACAGTGACGAACCGATGCCACTCTTGACTTGACTCAAAAATGGCATAACTGCAGACATAGCAGAAATGACAATGCCACAACGCCAATCAGCACACATATTGATGGCAACAGCGCTCAACATCAATTTCCACTGGCAGTAACGCCATGATGTCTTGATGCGCAGGTGCTAGACTGGTGCTGATGCCAAAACCAAGACTGGTACCAACACCAATGCCTCTAGTGCTATTGGTGCAGCTCTGTTGTCTGCATGTCAGGAGGATCCTTGATCAAGCACAACCTTTGCCAAAACTCACATTAACACCTCTAGTGCTATAAATTATGCACTATGATACCTGCCTTGGTGCAGCTTTGGATGCTACTGGGCTTGATCAGTGAACCGCCAGTATGCAAAAGACAACAACGCGACCTTCCCTGGTAACTACACATGTTATATTTGGTATGCTTGAGATACATGCTGCTTATTATTTGTGGCCTAATTCAGTGCTTCTGCAGTTCTTGTCACTCCTTTGATTTCCTTCACATGTTGTGCATGCTCCTATTGCACTTTATTCGTTTCACCATTTCATTCTGAACTAAACGGGTAAGGAACTTACGATTTGTCGTCGAAAGCAAACTCCCCAGGCATGATTGGACTGAACTCATGGAACAGCGCTTCTCCAGTTTTGATGCCTGTGGTGGCCAGAAGGGGAAGACCAAAGCCGTCCTTTGTGTCCTCATTGGCAGATATGCTGATGTTGTAATCTCTGCCAGGGAGAAAGGGAGCTCGAAGCAGTAATTCCCCTTTGTTCTTCAGCCTCAGCTCGAAGTCCATCTGGCAAAGCATACGCAAATTATGACACCATAACCTGTGCAAATTACTTTTATGCCATGTTCAGTTCAACAATTCCAAATTAAACCTGCTAACTGCAAAAATGCCTGGATAATGGCCCTGTGCCAGATGCAATGAAACCGTTGTCAACAAAATAGCCCCCCAAAAATGTCTTGAAAATCTTAATGCCCAAGTTCATCATCTTTTTAGAGTCGATTGTGAGTTTGGTACTTGGACAGGCGAGGCAATGTGCTTGCACAGTTGTTGCTGTCTAAAACCACTTCACGCTGACACTGATATGCAAAAACAGGTGCAGCAAACAATGCAATGATAATTGTGTTGCAACAATAGAGAAATCCTCCAATATTGTTAATGCCATCTTCAGCATATGTATGGTACTGTGCAGTGGAAATACAAAAAAAGCAGCATTTACTAATAGCGTACTTCGAAGTATCATTATTACTAGGCTGTGCATTCAACAACTCATTCGTTCTCAAACCTCTTGAGAGCCTTCCTTAATCTCCAGGTCCATCAGGGATACTTGCTTCTTCAAATCTTCCACTGTCACACCCGTGGCAAGGCCATGGATGAGAGGGAAAGACAGCTCCCGCGATCTGGAACGAAGGCCCATGCAATTTAAAGCACAACTATACTGAATAAGGAGCTCACCTCAGGACCTAAATCTGTATCCTGCCATATGCAATGGAATAGACAGGCCATGCATTCTACTGATCCTAACGCCCTGCATGGACATGTGACCAGCAAATAGAACAAAGAGTGATGGCAGCAAATAAAACAAGGCATGCATGCTTCAAAATAGAACAAGCACCGACTCCTGGCTTGCAGGCAGTGGATCCTGACACAATGGCTGTCACACATTTTTGAACGGACAAATCCATCAATGTTCTCCAAATACCCAGATGCCCCACAGCCCACACGTGTCTCTATGCAACTTCAACTCTGCACCACTGCCTTGTATTCTCTTCAAGAGCGCGCTTTCAGAACATGTCAATAATAATAAATGCATCACTGGCTCTGGGTACTGCCAATGGCATCACAGCATACAAGCAGGGCGTGGCAGTTGCCCAGCACAGAACACGAAGCTGCCAACTCCATTGGCTGACATCGGTAAGTATGCGAGCATGTGCCCCCAACTGTGTACTCACCGCACAAATGCACTGGAACCCAACGGTATTCGAAATGGGCGAAGACCACCAATCTCCTCACGAATGGTGGCATGCAAGTCGCCGCTCACAGAGCTGTATTTGATTCCCTTCTCAAGGACCAGGAAGTATCTGTATTAAAGCGCGACAATACACAAAATAGAATTTTGAGTACAAATATTCATGTTTTTGGCAGCGTGCTGCAGTGCCAGCGTATTTGCTCCCAAGGCAGGGTCGTTGCTCACACTGACATTACCAAACCCTTTGCATGCATAATCATTGGCTTCAAGAAGTTGAGACTCCACAATGATATCAATTGTATGCGATTATGCTGATGCAATGTTGACACCATCTGGCGAGAGAGTAAAAATGGCCAATGTACACTGGTAGAGAACGGCGTGTTTGCGACGCCAACTGCGATGCTATTTTGACACAAAATGATGCCATTACAGTGATTTGGATGGCATAAAAAGTGGCTGCGATGGCATCTATTTGTGTCAAAATGGCATCGCAAGCATGCTGTTTTCTACTGGTGCTAACCCACACTGTCCCTATTGAAGTGTTATACAAGTCATCACGCAAAACATTATAGACTTCTCCATTTCTCAATTCATTTGTCACAAAATGTAAACCACACCCACAATGAATATTCTCCACACTGCCATAAACTAAAAGTACATGGAGCCATACAGAAACCAGGGCAACACCAAGGTAACAGTCGTGATATGCAATGGGTTATTCAGGTGACATTGAGATGAACAACATGCTGATGTACCATTTATAGAGAATATGGCAGCCTCTGGGATGTTGTCACTGTGTTGAACAATTGCCTGTGCTATACAGTATTGGATTTGCAGAACTGTGCCAGGAACTTAGAATTCAAATCTCTTGTGCATCAGTCTCATTGAATCAAACATGCTCATCATTTGTCCTTTGGACAAAGAAAGTAATTTGTTAGATTTATGGACTTTTGACCAGTACCGCCAGGTTGCTTTATAATTATTTCATTAAACTATTCCTCACAGGGATACCAGATAATTGCACATACACAATACACTCTGCACCATCAGAATGCTTGCAACGACTGCTAATTTTACATGGCAAGAAGATTGCACAAATTTCACCTTGTGTCCACTTCCAACTCTCCTCCAGTTATAGTGACATTCACGCAGGGACTCTCAGGTTCGTCTGAATCACACGATGTCACTTTCACATCAAAATCTGTGGGGACATCATCATCAAGCAGCACCTGGAGGAAACATTATGGTGTTGTATGAGGCCAGCTTCAAGAATGCAATGCGTATTGCTATGTCACTTTGAACACCAATTTCAACAAATCCAAGACATGCAGAAATCACTGCCTGGCCCTATGAGCCAGGCTTGTTGCTTGTGTTTCCAGTACAATATGTATGTTGGTATACACATGCGAGTCACAATGTGTGGATGTACAGGCAACCACATCCACACATGGATTCAAGCAACCATACTACACAGTGTCACTGGTAACTTGAAAAGTGCTACCTTCTCAAGAATCATCGTCGTATTGCCCAGTTTGCCTTACAAAGGGATATTCAATGTCAACAACCTTGTTTGACACCCACTAGAGCACTGGATATGATTCCCACACTTCCTGATGCACTTGAGCCTAAGCGCTATGAACAAATGCACAATTTGAACATGGAGATAGGAATACCACGCTTTTCCATGAGCGTTTCTGTAAATGCAAACATGATGTGCAAGATATCAAGATATTGTGTGCAACACATCAAGCCTGCCCCAAAGAAAGAGCAGATTACTTAAAACAAGAACCTGCAGCCCTACTGTGATTCAAACATGTTTGTTCCATCTGGAATATCCATGTTGAGTTGACTCTTTTGATCATAATAGTCGCTATCTTTTGCATACTCCAAATGATTATGTCAAAATATCTGGGATTAACAGCCAACGCAGTGTTGACCTCGAGACACAGGTTACAAGCTGAGCAAGATCAATGCTGCATGGTACAGCCTGCAGCCATTCTCTCTTGTGGTAAGACATTTCTGCATCAATTCCTTGTGTGTCAGTGAGTCCCAAGTGCAGCTGCTAACAATGAGTCCTCTGCATTTTGTGTTGCTCTCTCTGGGCAAGAAAATCCACTGCTTTTTAAACCTGATTTGTTCACATGACAGAAAATTTTCCTGTTCATCATAAAACTATATATGCAGAAAGTTACATGCACCAGCACGACAATGTTCTGGTGTGTGCCTCACCTTCATGCTTTCCTCCAACATTGAAGGCAAGACATCATGGGAAAATTGGAGCCTAATGATGCCTGTTCCACAGGATACAACTTGGATCAATAGAAAGATAATGGCAATATGCATGGGGGGGGGGGGGGCAACCAAAAGCAGACACAATCATGTTAATCTCATCATGAAAATAATCCTATCAATGTGGACAATGTGCTGGCATCACATCCACCTGAAAGTTGTACTAAATGCGATCCTTGTGTGCTGCAGAACTGGCTTGGGTTTGTAATCCCCATTACTGGGACATTGAATTGCATTGTGCTCATACAGTTGCTTCCATGGCAACGTGTTGTTACCCCAGAGAATACTAGTTCCCCTTTTTTTCTGAAGGCAAGGGGATTCCCAAACCCAAAATCGCCCACAAGCCTCCAATTCTGGCAAATTTCCCTCTTGCCGATGTTCAAGGGCAAGAATAGAAATTCTGTTGACATTCTTGGTGTCAAAATTCAATATAACATCACATTCGTGCCCTGCCAACAATGTGGCTGGATGTGCATCGCATTGTCGCATTGAGCACGCTGAGCAAATCTAACACATGCTGCACGGCCCTCACTAAGTCTCTGCCATTCCATTATATCGACCATATAGACTGCCCATCTGTTGTCCAATCGCAGCTGATTCACCTGGCCAGTAGATTGGTTATTCGTGCTCCCCATGCCCTGTCACCAACTGGCTCACATGCTCCACAAGATTTACAAGCAGTCAGATGGATACCATCATATTTGCTTGACATTTCTTAAGTTGTATTGCACATCACTACTGCGTTCTGTTTAGGGAAATATTCTTATGGTTCATTCAGTTGTGTAGCCACTCATAGATATGCCTGTACCCAGTCCTGAAACACACTTTTGGCAAAGTGCGCAGGGGGTGCAGCACTTAGTACTTGAACTTTAGCATTTAGGCTTACTTACAACCACTATGCCCAGGAACATGCTCTCCCCATTCCTATACTGGAAGGCTGCAATAAAGTAATGTGGACATCAGCTGGCAATCTTGCCCCACACAGTTAGTTGAACCAGCAAAAAGAAGTCAGCATGGGCATTTGTTGTTTGGTGCACCACTTTTCAACAATATACATTGTGCTTGCATGCCACTTCGTTCAGTGGGCACGTGCAATTGTACTGCCATATGCTTGCATGTGTTTCAAAATTGGGTGTCAGGCAGTGAAAGGAATTGTGGATTTTCTCATGCCCAGTTCCTTTCCAACACACTTTTAAGTGCAAAATGTCGGCATGGAATGTGGCAGAATTGCAACAGGAGTTCCCAGCAGATACAGATGTTTGTTCCTAGGACAACAATTCAAAATGTACCCTGCTGCAACACTTACCATCAGAAGGCACTTCTGGAATCTTGTCAGCTGCAGAATACTGGCAGCTTGCACACCATTTGCCATCTGTGAGACCCTCTGCCATTTCTGATGTGACTTGGATCCCCACAGAAGTCAAAGCAGGTGTCACAAGAATGGTAGGGCTCGCATTTGTCAGGTTCAGCTTGACACCTATGCAAGGTATGCCACAAGAAACTGAATCAGCAGGGTCATAGTCTAGTCAAATCTGCAATGTACTACCAGAGGAAAATGTAATCCAATGAAAGCCATTGCACCATTGCTCAGATGATCAAATGAGAAATGACTGACTGAAAATGAGCTGACCAATGTATACACAATGGAGGGAAGACAGAGTCACAGATGGAGCGGCACACTGAAAGATGGAATGGGGAATCCATTGCATCATAAGTGAATCTATTACAGCAATGCAAGAGTGGCACACGGGTCGTGGCATGTATCTCCATCAAGTTTAGATCACCACACAATCTCATATTTGCTAGTTGTCTACAAGGCACTTGCAAGTATTAGCAAAAGAATTGCAATCTACACATCATAGGGGCACACAAAGTACACTGGACAACAAAGAGCACAGACACCCCCAATTATTTGTCCACCTCCATCCCGCCCCATCCGACACCAATTGTGAGAGCAGTAGCAATTGCTGTACATTGTTTTCATCCTGAATGGCCCATGGTGATTCAAATCATTCTAAAAGTTTGTGGAGATGAAATCCATGAAAGAATTACCCCAGTGCATAAAATAATTGGTTGCAAGAACAAATTCAATATACAAATAGTCAGTTGCTTTGATGGAGTGCAAATGATGCTGATGACAAAAACTAGTGGAGATGAGGTGAATTTGTGGGCAAATGGGCAGAAGACAAGCAACATGGAATATTGGCTTTGTGCAGTGCACAGTGCATGCATGAGGAGAAATTGTTTCATACATGTGCTACCAATGCAGGTCTTTGGAAACACAACCATGGGCATACTCACCCAGTGGTTCATTGCAATGGCAGTGCAAAAAGACATTGCAAAGTATACAGAGACTGCAGAGCATACCGAGACTGCACAATCCAAAGCAGATGTTGCCGCCCTGTCAGCGCATGTGGATTGGATTTGGGATTAATACACCCTTTGTTGGGGGTTCACGATGCTCCCAACGTTGCACATAAATTCAAAACTACAGGAGATAATCAGATATAAGGTGTTTGACTCACCATCAAAGGTCGTCAATTCCTCGTTCCAATTGAGTTCGATCTCATGATCAGGCCAGTATTCTTCTGTAGGATCGAATCGAAAGATGGATGTTGTGACCCAACGAAATCTTCCAGGGATTTCCGGATCCAACTTGAATGGAAGCTGCCACCAAACATTTACCAGCATCAGATGAGATACAAACTTTCATGCAAGATCTACAGCTGCACAGCAATCATTAAGCAAAGTAGAGTACTGTGATGCCAACGGATGAATCAAGGAATATAATGCAATAAGAACTGCTAAATTGGACACATTCGTTGGCGTTGGTTTTGCATTGCATTGCATCAATGCCAATTTCAGCAGGAGAGACGTTGAGAATGCGAAAGTGGAAACAGGTATTACCTCATCAATTTACAATCTGTACTTCAAATGCCAAATTTGTAATCTTCAAGGTCGCATCGCCAAAGTGTTGCAGTGCTAATACTGGCACATCTATTGCAAAAATTGAAGTGGGCAACTGTGCTACTCCCTATCTTGGCCAGCCGTGGAGCTAGCAGCCAACTTGCTGCTATACTGATGCACTATTGCAATCCCATAGCCACCACACCACAAGCCAGTACCATACTATTGGTGCACAAGCTGCTGCAGGATAAGCAGATTGCACATTAGCATGATGTCTTGCCTGTCAAACTTGTACTGTACGACAATTTTTTGCAGGATTCTTGTTGGCAAAGATCAGGACTCTTCAAACCTTTTCTGTGCTGATACTGCCACAGGAATTTGCTAGAGAACAAGAGCAAGGCACAATAGCTTACACAGTATTTTACCTCACCCACTTGTGAACATGTCCAGGTGTCAGCGCCAACTACTGAGCGAACACTGATACTGCAAAGTTATTCTCATGAATAATTAGAATAGTTGTCGATTTGCCAGTGTAAAAGCAGCAGGGCAGGCTATAGAGAAGACACACTCTTACTCCAAGAAAAAGGTCACAAAGTTTTCAGAGAAAAACTCTCAGAGCTGGTTGATATCACCACAAATTTGTCATGGCTATGCTCCCCTCACCTTGTCTTCTGGAACACCATCAGCGCCAAAGTCTTCACCAATTGCGATAACAGATCTGGAGAATGCCACCTTGCAAAAAAAACATATCAATTAAAATCCAAAGTTAACTTCTGTGTACCTGTGACAATGCTGCTCACCTCGGCACCCTTTGCAACAGGTTTCAAAAACAGGCATCATTCCTTGCAAGAATGCATGCAGCACTGCTTGGTGCAAAGATACATCTCAACAGCATAACCTAACATGCTCTGATTGAAAATACAGCTCTTCAGCAGTAGTCAGCCTGAAAAAGGTTTCTGTCCAGCATTCCATCATTTTATCGCAGTTGTTGATGTCTTCCAGTAAGAGCTATCTGGAACACAACTAACTGTTACAGTGTTCTCAACCACCTGCCTTTCTTATCTGTTTTTCCTGGCAGATGAGGCATTTTGACATTCTTTCTAATAACCGTGCCACGTGCATTGTGCTTTTCTAGCATGATGAGGACCAATTTGCACAGAGCATTAATCACTGTGCATGCATGTATCCTGGGCAACCCCTGGTTCGAAATTCCATTTGCATGCCACAAATGATGTAAATGAGGGTCTAAATGTTGGGGTCTGAAATTTGACCAACGTGCTCAGAGAAGTTGTATCAAGATCTATCTGTGGAAGTCTTCAGTAATCCAAACAGCAGCGCAATTCAACATCCAACAAGTGTGGATGCCATTTATGGGTTGCCAATGGACAAATAGGTGCAGGCCATCACTGTCCCACATAAGCTGCACTATGAAAACAAACCAAATTCCTGATGAGAAATGTTCACTGCAACTGGCGGACCCAGGGCGTTGTTGCACGTCATGGGGAATGCCCATTAATGGTCAAAAGTAGAGTGTGCAGAGTTTTGCATTGTTTGCACATCATTGAAGCCCAGTGTACAATTTGCAATTTGTAATGGACCCCTGGATGAGGCTATCACATTCCATCTTGTTGGAGGCCCGACACAAATTTATTACTTGAGGATAGATGTCAGGGTATGAACCACAATGTTGATGTTCATGAAACTGCCATGGGGGAAAGTCGGCGAACCAGCCATTGCCAGATTCCGATCAGTTGTGGAATTGCCACAATTTTGTTTTCAAAGCATCAATGCTCATCAACAAAATCGACAGGGCCTTACTGGTTCATCATCTTGGGGATTGGGCCCCACAGTAAGATATGGGCGCGGAAGCTCTGAACAACGACAAGGGGGACTGGAAGGGTTGGACCCGTGGATGACTGGTTCAGACCAATCTTTCATCCCTTATTCGGGCGGTGATTCACAGAACATGCACGCCCCACAACACGCCGTTCCCAACACAGACCACGAACACTGACACGGCGACGGGGACGGCAGCGGGCTGGGATTGGGCGTCTGGGCGTCAGGGCTAAACGTAAAATCCATCGGGTACCAGTAAGCGCGGCGCGCATCGGAACGGCCAAACGGTGAGTCAACGACCGCGCCTCGCGAAGGACTCGACACCGGAATCCGCGCTGGATTCTACCCTCGATTCGGCCCCCAGGCGAACAACAGGTTCAGCGTCCAGGGCTTACACGCGCTCGACCGCATCCCCCCCCCGTACGACGTCGCCCCGACGTCACCACCCCCGCCTCGCGTGGCCGCCTGCCAATCAGCCTCGCGGGCCGCCAGCCATCAAGCAGCTCCGTCCCACCCAGTGAGCCCGCCACCTCCCGCCTCCCACCGTCAGTGCCTGGCTCCCGTCCACGGCCCGCCTCGGCGCCGCTCCGAGGTCCGACGGCGTCGTGGCGACGATCTCCAGCGGCAGGGATCCCGACAGAAAGCCTTCGGCGTCGTCAGCTGCGCTCTGCAGCAGGGATCGGGCAGCCCGATCGGAGGCAGGCGGGGATCGGCACGCGGCGGGCTCGGCGAGGCACAGGAGGGCGAGCGCCAGGAGAGGGCCGGACGGAAGACCTGCGAAGTGAGGGACGGGTTGGGCGGAGGTGAAGTTCAATTGACTCGCGGCTGGCACACATTGACGAGCAGCGAGTGTGATTTCGCGAGGAGGCTGGGAGTGGGAGCGGGAGGCCTGATGAGGCCTGATGGGCGGGCGGAAAGCGGATTCTCGGAGGCGGCAGCAGCGGAATGACCGGCGTGGGGTGGATCGTCGCCGGTCGGGCCTGCTGGCGGACGCGCGGGGTCGCAGGGCGATTGCGCGGCCGGGCGGGAACGCGGGAAGGCCCTCCGCGGTCGCGCCGGCCGCACCTCGCGGCCGCAGGGTGCGCGGCGCCCGGGCCGCGGAGCGCATCTCCGGAGAGCTCCTCCCCGAGGGGCGCCGGCGGGGTGGGGGGCCGATGCTCGGCCAACGGCTCCCGACGCGGCGTCCTTGGATCCGCGTTGTGGGGCCGGTGGCGCCGATGGAGAGGCGCTGCTCCTCGCCGGGGAGTCGAGGACGCGGAGACGGGGCCGTGGCGGCGTCGCGGGTCCTGCACGCGCCACGCGGGCGCCTGGCCCGTGGAGCGGGTGGCAGCGGGCGCTGGGCGTTCCTGTGGTTGGCGGGTGGTTTGGCGCGTCGATTTCTTAATCCGAGGATGACTCGTGTGAACACTGGGGGCGTGTGCGTGGGCCAGGCCCGTCTTGCAAGCAGAAGGGCCCTGGAGTTGATCCGGTGGTCGAGCGCCGTTACTACAACACCACTTGCCACCCCACTGTGCTGGGGTGATGAGTTTCATCGTGTTGGTGCGCAGAAAGGGGGTACAGAGGAGAGAGCTCCCCTCATTCTTTCAGTCGAGTGTTGTGGGTCATGCATATATATGCATCAATACGTCCAACATCGCCGCTTAAGGTGCCGGGGTTGTGATTCGTCAAGTTTATTTGACAAATGTAATCAATGGATTTCAACACCAATGCATATGCCACACACACATGTGTGTTGCGTCCACTGGCATTTGTTGGTCTGCCACAGTGCGGGAGGGCCCGTCCTGGAGGGGTGCACGTCGGTCAGAAAGCAAGCACGGGCGCACCTGATGATATTGCTTCAAGAACATGGTAACCACACCAAAATGGTCGAAAACCACGTGCCACACAGATGCAAGCCTGGAGGACAAAACGCATCTCACGCGTGGTTTCTGTAGAATCGACTCATTTCCGACCCGTTTGTTTTTGTAGACTGGATTCATTTCTGACCCATTTGTTTTTAAAGAATCGATTTGTTTCTGACCCATTTGTGGGCTGTATCTGCACGGATGGACAGGTGTGTGGATTGCTCCGGCAGGTTTGCAACTTGTCTGGGGCTGTCGGGACATCACGTTTTCCGGTCTCCTGGAAGTGGTCCACGAGGGATCAAAGTTTTCAACAGGGGCAGATCGCATACCTGGGCTGGCCACCATGGGACTACTAATTAACGCCATATCGAGACAAACACTGATCTGTGGCGCACGTGTGGTTTTCTGCTTCGCATTAGCACGGACGCCATGAACTTTGTTGTTCACGAGTCATTTAGCGACTGCTGGATGACGGATCGGGGAACTGACTGACCAAGGCATCCAATCGTGGGCATGTGCTGTGCACCACGTCCAGTGGCTAGGCATGGCTCACGGCCTTTTGTTGTTGAAAGGCTCCAGCACCTCGCCTCCACGCCAGACAACAAAGGGGCATCGTCACTCCCCACCAGGGTGAGCATCCACATGGGAACAATCATTCACACAGGAACCATCGACAAACACACCAAAGTCCAGACCACACTGCAAATCTCCTCCACATCCTCTTCTCAAGCCGTCAGCTGAATTCCCGCCCCACCCCCAGCCCCGTGCTCATCCGCAACCCCGCCGTCCCCACCCACCCCTATCCGAAAGTCAAGCACCCAATTCTCACTCCGCCAAGCCCCTGTCACGTTGTGCCATGCGCCTGGTGGTGGTCCAGGGGGCCCACCGGCAGCGGGCCCCACCCTGCAGCTCAGCCATCATTTCTTCTTCTGTGCGGCCTTGGTCACCTTGCCGGTTGCCTCCTTCTTGACGACTTCCTTGATGATCCCGACAGCCACGGTCTGGCGCATGTCGCGCACCGCAAAGCGCCCAAGGGGCGCGTACTCGGTGAACTTCTCGACGCACATGGGCTTGGAGGGCGTCATAGCCACGAAGGCGGCGTCACCATTCTTGATGTGATTGGGGTTCTTCTCGAGCTCCTTGCCCGATCGGCGGTCGATCTTGGTGGTGATCTCCCTGAACTTGCAGGCGATGTGGGCCGTGTGGCAGTCAAGCACAGGGGTGTACCCGTTGGAGATCTGGCCAGGGTGGTTCATGATGATGACCTGCAGCACAGCAGATGTGTATGCATCAGGGCTTGCAATGCAAGCATCAGGAAAACTCATAATAAATAACAGTCTTGGTGCCAGGAGAAAGCCTGACCCCTTTTCTCAAGGCCATGACATACATTACTCCAGTGGAGCTGATGCATACAGTTTGTTTCCTGTACATGGTGAAGCAAAACAGGGGGTAAGGGTGAAAGCATGCGAATGTGCTGATGGCCCACGATGGGGCCTCTTGTTGGCTCTCGCACGCACAACACAGCCGAAAGTACCCACAGCAGCAGCTCCAACCTCGGCAGCTTGAATGATGTCAGAAAAGCAATGCCCATGTTTGCGCTGCACTATGCTCTGCACTGTGTGGAACCAGCTCCTGCTCTGTTGGAGTGAATGCCAGTGGAAATGGAAGATATTGGAGTGAACACCGAGCCGAAGAGTGATACAACACTTCTTCTGGGAGACTTTCAGGTGATGAAAGCACTAGCGCATCTGAGATGAATCGACATGCTACCAATCAGCAGTCAGCCAAAACTCAGTACAGTACAGTACAGTACAGTACAGTACAGTACAGTACAGCACAGCACAGTACAGTACAGTACAGCACAGTACAGCACAGTACAGCACAGTATAGCACAGTACAGCACAGTACAACACACTGCCAGGTTGCTACAGGTTTGTAACCAATTTCGGAATGGAACCCATCCTTGGTGTCAAATACACTGCCATGCTGGGTTTCAACCCTATTTGCCTATTGTCACTTGCTCTTGCAGCTAAAGGGGGGAAACCAGAAGACCGGGGCTGTGGAGGCCCACACATACACACATGGGAATACAGTGCCTCAACAATGCAGCACAGCTACATTCAGGTGAGCATGCACCAGGTTAAGAGGCGAGCAGCCACCTTAGCTCGACACTGCCCTCCTCAGCACAAGGCTCAGCTGCGGTACAAGGAGTCCACAGTCAACAGCAGCCACTAAAGCTTGGAATTTACAATTTGATGGTTGAAGAATTAGGGTTGGGGTCGGTGGCGTGAGTTTGAGGGTGTAGGGACCAAATCTGGGAATGCAGAGGCTCCCCACCTGTGCAGTGAACTCCTCTGTGCCCTTGGCAGGGTCATTCTTGGAGTCGGAAGCAACATAGCCACGCTTGAGTTCCTTGACAGACACGTTCTTAACATTGAAGCCCACGTTGTCACCGGGCACGGCCTCGGAAAGTGCTTCATGGTGCATCTCGACAGACTTCACCTCAGTGGTCAGACCTGATTGCATGAACAGCCAGGCAGTCAAATCAAACCTCAATCGATGTGGTTTCTGTGCCAGGAGTTCTATACCTTGGTGCCATTTCTATGCTAGAGAAGGTATTTATGTCTGGTAGTTTGCTTGAATCTATTCCGCAAACAAGGAAAGGTGTGCGCACAAGTCGTTGATCGTTCTCCGCTGTGCACTGCATTCCTTTTCCTTGACAACTTGAAAACGCCTTCCAAGCAACAACGAGATGTGCTGTCCACAGGCAATATGGAAATGTTTGCAAAACGATAGCAGGCATTCGTCCTCTCCTGAACACCTCTGCATCTCCTTCGCCCCTCCACAGGTTATATGTATGACTTAAGGAGAGGGAGCCCACTGGACGCCAGCGAATGGTGAGAATGGGATGCAACTGAATGGGATGCAACTGCTGGCAATGGCATGGACTACAAGAACTACGGCACAGAGTGAGTGAACTGCTTTCTGGGCAAAGAGTCTGCCGCAGGCAGGCAAGTTCAAGTTTTTCCGAGTTCCAACAATTCAATCAACCTAGTATAATTCAGGTGCCTTTCCCGATTTCTTCTATAGCATCATGTAACTCCATCCATTGCACGAACTGTGCCCTGTGGTTTGGGACGCCAGGTAAGCACAGATGGGCAGAGCAGGGGGGTGAGCACAGGCTTCGGTATCTGAGGAACACCTCGATTGGACACAAGGCAGTGGCCACATCTTTTCTAGCTGATGGGATGCAATCTCTGTACAAAACGAACACCACGTATGTGCTCCATAACTGTCAATTTTTCAACTACACAACTGAAAGCCAACATTTCCGGCCAACATGCTGCTGGAGTGCGCATTGTTGATAAAGCCAACACGAGCCATTGCTGCTTTGACCACCACTTGATTCTTACACTTTAGGGCCATTTTGACACATTTATTCCCTCGCTTTCCGTTTTTGGTAACATAACATTGTCCTGCACAACACATCAGTTCACAATCCTGCCTACATTCTCATCATTTTCCAATCAGTGTTCTTTTCTGCACCGATGAGCGCAACAGAGATAAGAACACTTAAAATTCTGTAAACAGTGCACAAACACAGGGAGGGGCATCATACCATTGGGAGCAAAGGTGACGACCATCCCTGGCTTGATGACGCCAGTCTCCACTCGCCCCACAGGCACAGTCCCAATGCCTCCGATCTTGTACACGTCCTGCAGGGGCAGGCGGAGCGGCTTGTCGCTAGGACGCTTGGGGGGATTCATGGAGTCCAGGGCCTCAAGAAGGGTGGGCCCCTTGTACCAGGGGATGTTGTCACCCCTCTCAATCATGTTGTCACCATTCCAGCCAGAAATGGGCACGAAGGGCACCTGCAGGCCACGGCATGGTTGCTCATAACGATGGGTTAGAAAAGGCAGCAAAATCTGAAAAGTCAGTCTAAACAGGCAAGAAGCCAGCAAAGGGAGAATTTGGAGACACTGCTGCAGAGCATGTTGTGCTGAACCGCAAGTGCTGACCATCATCGCCGGCAGGCCACAAGGGCCCTGTGCTGGTCACGCCAAAGCTTGTGTTGGCAACTGCATCGATGAATGCCATTTCACCCCACAAAGGTGCAAGGGTGCTGTTCTGTCCCAAGACAACCAAAACGCCAACAGAACCCAGCCAAGCCGAACGCAGGCAGATGAGTGCCCAGCAGCTGCGCTAGGGCGCACAATACAGGCAATTTGTAGCTATCTGCTACAGCCAGTTCAGCTCATTTGGG